TCATACAGAGATCATTTTCGGCAGCACATTAAGAAATAATTATCGCGATTTCTTTAGAGTAAGTTTGTAAATTATTTGAGAGAAAAAGCTTAGTGTGGTGGCACGTAGCATCTACTGTCGGGCTTAAAGATGGGATTTTGATTCTGCTATTCGTAAAATTAATTCTCTTTGTGATTCATAAATTCGTCTTTGAGGAGAATTACGCCACGAAGTCAACTGTCATAAGATAGAGAGAAAAGAAGGGGTCATGTAGGCCCGATCATGAATGGCCATTACAGATAGGGATAAGAGGGTTGTGGTCGACGAGGGTGGTAATAAAAACCTTAGTACTATGCATACCAGTATAAAGCATATATTTCAAAAATTTCTTGCCCAATTGTAATAATCTGGAAATGTTAAACTAATGTAAGGACCATTAGATGGCCGGACGAAAAATGAACGGTCCAAGTGAGGCGGCCGAACCGGGAAGATCGAAAAAGATTTTTTCGGCGGCTGATAGGCCGAACCAAACGTTCTGAAGTCGGGTGTGTCATCAGCTTGCCTTTAAGCAACCCTTTGAATAGAGGAGGCTATCAGTAGATTTTTTTTTAGATGTTTGGTGGTAGCTGCTCAGTACCGCTCTAACTGCTTTTGAATTTCATCTTTTTTAGAGGGCAAATTATTGAGAGGATTTAACTTTCATCCCTAAGATTTCAGCGTTCTAGCTTCTCAGATCCCCCAATTATGAAATTACTCCAAAAAAATTTTGGCGGCCCCGTACGCGAGTACCACGCTTACTCGGGGGATGGGTTTCAGTACATTAACGCCTTCTTGGACGTGGAAATGGTCTACACAATATCATTGTGTCCACTCGAGAAAGCAAGTTCCAACTCCTGGGCACGTTGCTGACCTTGCTGGTGTCCGACCAGCATGACGTGTCAGTGAATAGTACTCTCTATAAACTAAAAAGCCAGTCGGATTTGAATGTTTTGTGAAGTTGTGAAAAGGGTCGCAAGCAAGGAAGGTAATAATTAAAAGGACGTAAAAATTGGATTGAAATATTTCGGTCTATTAAGACGCATACATTTCCATTCAGTGCTATAACTGGACCTCGTCAGTGTGACGGTTGCAGCAGAAATATTATAAACATACAATATGGTGCAGTTAAGAAAAAAAGAGAAAAATAAAATTTAAAGAACTGACACACATACATCGGAAGGTGGTGGGCCCTAATTATGTTTGCCCCGATATCACTAAAAGAACGTTTATTCAACACAAAATATATAAAAGCGCTGCACACAGTTCAACGAATCAATGACCTTACAGATCACCCACACTTGTCTCGACGATGACTGCCAATGATGACGCCGTCTCACCATTCAGTACCATCTTATACA